TCAACCTAGAACAGGAACTGCGAACAACGATACACCGGAGTGAACAGCTTGAGGAACGCGTAGCCGGCTTGGAGACTAATCGGACGACAGCCCGGCGCCGCGGTTTCTTGGTTCGGTGGCATTGAACGACACGGCACCCCGGATTACCAATGCGGCGAGACGGATATACCCACCGAAGCCGGACGGACAGTCGAACCAGACCGGAACAGATAGAAGGCTTTAAGATCAAACGCCGCAGCCGCACGAACCCATCCCGAGCGATGGATCTAACCGGCGGAAGGAACAGCCTGACACGAGAAACCTGATCGATGTGCTGGACGATTGCGGCACATCCTACAGGATGAACTTTTGATATCAGCCCGGCACGGCGCCTCCCGGTTTTCTGGAAGTTTGCTGCCAACCCCGGTCGGTCGCGTCAATACCGCGACTTTTCTTCCGTCCATTACTCCGGCGCCGTATTTCTGGAGTCTCACCGAAGCCGGACCAATTTATGTCGGCGGCAAGGATCATCCTCTACGTCGGTCGTCGTAGTTGTGGCCGCCGTTCCCGGCTGTGGCGTTTTGTTTATTTGATTTTCCTTTTCTGATTTTTTTATTTAGCTTAGTGAATCATTTATCTAGTAGGCGAAATGTCGCTTCGTCGAGATATTCTTGCGGCAAAATTTTCTTACGTCGAAACGGCCATGCGACGGAAAGTCGCTCGGAGTAAAGTCCTACGAACAAAATGTCCTGTGACGAAACGTCGCACGGCGAGATAGCGTTGCGGTGAAATGTCTGCGACCAAAAGTCTTGCGACTGGTTGTCCGCGGCGAAATGTCGCAGTGCCGGCACCTTGTAGTACTATGAGGTGCCCCCATCTTACCACCCGGCACCAAAACTGGAGCCAATGGAGGTAGCCTACCGGACGGTGGTAGGTACTACCATAGCCAAGGGCGATACTAAACCACATCCTACCAAATGCATCAGCTGATAGCTTTGCAGCCATCATAACCTGGACCGGTTTCCTTTCCCCCCGCCAACGGTGGTGGAACTCCCCCGGTTTACTAGACGGGAAACATGTATGGTCAGTGAGCACTGGTGGCTCAACTAGCCTCCTGCCACCATCCAAAGCACCGGATATGAACAGCCCTGTGCGTCAAAAAATCGTCAGAGGTGGAGCGGAAGAAACCAGAATACAGCCACATGAGGTGGTACATGTGCCCAACACTGCGCCAATGAGTTTGCGCCCGACAAAAAACTCTTGTCGGTGTAAAAACCCAGAACGGGACCGTTCTAACCGTAGCAGTCGGAAACTAACCATAGCGAGATCGGGTTATACTGGAAATTAACCATAGCAAGATCGGGTTATACTGCCAACAGTTGCGCCGGCGACCTGCGACCCGACAAGAGAACCTTGGACGGGCTGCACAGAAGCCACCCGGAAATAATAACGAAGCCGGGCGACCAGATACCATTAAGCAAGGGGTATACTCCAACTGAAACTGATGGGAACGCCCCTACTGGAGCAACTGGAGGCCCAAACTGACGAATTGAACCGGTTCATTTCATCAGTTTGACTGGAGCTCCGCCCCTCCAGTTGGAGTATACTACATGCTTTAGACCGACTGACGACGATAACGCCGTCGCCTCGCTCCGGATATGGGCAGTGACCATCCGTGACAAGTTTGGTTTACCGGACGAAGCAACCACACCGGCATTAAGATCCACCAGGGTAGTCCAAACAGGCTTCCGTGGGTCTCAACATGATCAGAATATCTTAATCGAACCACACGGCACCCAAAATGGAGGCGTGTTACCCGATAGCAATAACGCTGCCGGAGTGTTTGGTGTCCATAAAGCCACAACATCGATCGTCGCCAACAACGTCGCCGTGACTCGCGAGTCGTCTGCCGTCAACAACCTCGTCCGACCGGCCGGTACCAACGGTGACGCCGGGTCGACCAAACCGAAAAGGCCACAAAGGACCAAACCGAAAAGGCCACATTGACATCGTCAGGGCAACGGGACCTCGTGGTTCAGCTAGACATCGCGCAACGATTTCCCAGGACGCAATAATGCCTTCTGGGAACTTCACCATGTGTACACGGATGGAACGGTGGTCAAAACTGCGGAAGGGTCTCTCGGTAAAGCCTTGGATGAACCGTCTGCATAAACCCCGGACATGGTTGCCACTCGCGGGCCCAGGGAGGGGAACACCGCCAACGGCAATGAGAGTCGCTGAATGCAAGGAGGCATATGCCCGAGCGCAATGGCAACGGAGCAGCTACCCATTCCATTGAGCACGCCATAACCCTAGCAGCCCCTTCGGTCACTAGCATAACGGAAGAACTGGAAAACCCCGGGAGAACCTCTGGGCCTCTGGACGCTTTTTTAAGCAAGTAACGCTGTTTTACAAAACTTCCGGCACTTAACCGTACAGAGCGGAATGAAAGTGTGCGGTGAGACAGGCTGCAATAATAGTGTGGCAAAATAGCCAACTGACTATTTTGCCGACCAAAGTGCGGCAAAATAGCTGAGCAGCTATTTTAACGCAGTGTGCGGTAAAATAGCCAACAAGCTATTTCGCCCACCCTAGTGCGGCAAAATAGCCAACTGGCTATTTACCCGCAAACACTGCGGCAAAATAGCCACTTCAAATATAATATTTATATTTTCGGCTACCTATTGTTAGAGATGGGCAAACTAAAATTAGTCGACTAATTAACGGTGAACTTCGGTTAACCTGACCAAAACTAAAAAAATTAGTTTAGCAAACTTTGGTAACTAAAAAATTTAGTCAGAAGCTTTTTAGTGACTGAATATTTTAGTCAAGTTGTTTTTAGTTACTAAATTTCTACGGTTAACCGGTTAACCAAAATTGTGTGGTTAGGGCCCTAACAAACCAAGCCCAAATGTACAAAATAAATTCATTGGTGCATTACACACCTTCCCTGTACTCGGTACTGCTCTAATGATCGCCTCAAGCATGACCAAATGGCGAAACTACGGGCGGACGACTGCAGCAGTACCAGGAGGTGTGTAATGCATCTTTATTTACGGCTATATTATTCCAGTGTCTGACGGTGAGTGAGCCGCAATAAATGACTGTTTGTATACGTGTACTGTAAAGTTTGAGATCGTCTGGCTCGACCACCATAGGCGTACGGCGAAATGAGCAACATATTTTTACAAATGACAATAGCCTGGACGCAGTAAATTACACTTAATTTGAAAACCGAAAAATTTAATTTTAGTCTCGGTTAACTTTGGTTAACCGGTTAAAAATTTTAACCAACTCGTAGTTAACCACTAAGAAATTTAGTCGCCAACGTTTAGTTGACTAAAAGTTTTAGCCAATTCAGTTTTAGCAACTAAAACTTTTAACCGAGTTTTAGTTTAGTTTAGTTTAGTCAGTTTTAGTTTGCCCATCTCTACCTATTGTACCCTACATAACCAACTTCATCTATTGCCGTTGCTCTAGGGGTGCGGGAGGAATGATTGATCATTCCTCTCGCAGTCCTAGAGCAATTACGGCAGTGCTTCATCACAACTATGCGGTACAGTTCATCCGACTTCATTGTTTTTCGGAGTATTTATTTCCAAGGGTTGCTAACCTTTTTCCCGGTTTGGCGCAAAATGATAAAGGCAAAACAAATCAAAGACGCCGCCGGCAGAATGGTTGCGCGGCTTTCTTGATCGTAAACCGCTATCCAGTTCACCTTCCTGCCGGTGACATTTTACTGTTCATCGGTTTTCGAGACGGGTCTAAGATGGTATTCAACGGATTTTAAGATAACAATCATGTACAGTACTGTTCTAAACCTTTAGAAATAGATCGGGACATGCTTCTGATTTCGATTTCCTTCCAGCATTATCTGTGTTATGACTACAAATTGTCTACAGAGCAGGAACTCCGCAAGTCTAAGCGGGGTCTGGGATTTGTTGCCTTCCTCTCCAGACACCCGGTGGCTTGCCACAAAGCCCACTCACATGCTCGCACCCACCCACAGGAATACGTAATTCTGCCTGGGTAGACACTTCTGCTTTCCCTTAAGTGAATGGCCCGGTATGTGGCACAAAATTCGACACCATGCACGAGGACTTTACTTTTGCGAGATCCCAATCACTTCCTGCTCTTTGGAATTTTCTTACAGCCATAACTGTGAAGTGTGAACCGGTTGTTAGGGGCATGCGCAAACGGTTTCAGGCTTACCGTATGTGTACAGATCATCTGGATACAGAAAGTCATAAAACAAAGTGTTTGGGATCGAAAGTGAAAGTTTTTGCAGCACTCGCATTTGGTACCATACACCGGGCCACTTTTTTTAACTTGGATTACATGGCACATCACATCAGCCAGATGAAAAGATAACATCCGCTCTCTTAATCCGAAGTATTGTTTACGCAACCTGAGTCCCACCGGTACTACGAATTACACAACTCAGTTCCCGATTGGACACTACGGATAAAAGCAGCGATGAATGCATCCTGGTTGGTGCAACTGGATAAACATGGATACGCGCAAAGTAACATGATACTCGTACCATGCCCGCACCTCTGACGACCATGCCAGACATTTCTCGGTCTACCGTGAGCAGGATAATGTGTGTATACACTTTCAAGCTTGTAAAACATCGCTTGCACTTAGTGCCATTTGCATTTACAGTGTGATCAACGGGAGTCTGATTACTGGATGTCTGTTCTAACCGAATAGCGCGTAAACCCAATAACACACGTTCCAAATCCGACATTATTTCTGTGTGGTTACTTTTGCAGGGTGGCGTATCGGCTCCGCGCATGACCATGTTTCTCAGCAAGATTTGTGAAAAAATCAGCAAGTGTGGCGTTCCGTCTTCGGAAGGAGATGTGGACACCAAGAGCAGTAGCGCTGGAGGCATCTGCGTCCAAGAGGAGACCCATCATGAGAGTAAATCCTTCGCTCTGCAGTGGACGGTGCAGAACTTTTCGGTATATCGGAATCACACGGAACCTATAATGAATACCGGCATCACCATGGCGAAAGTTGGGATGCAGGACTGCAAAGGACGCTGGCGTGTCAAAATTATTCCGTGTCATACACTCAAAGATACTGCGGAGCGACAAGAGTATGTGGCGGTATTTTTAGCCCTAACGGATCAAAGCCTGCAATCGACGGGGTATACTGGCCAGAAGAAAATCCTGGCTACAGCCCATATCCGGTATGTAACCGTATGTTTCCTTAAGTACGAGAAGCTAACTGCGTTTAGCCAGATATCTACCCCTGAGATTTTTTCTCGTCCTAAAAGTATAGGGGGCTCCTAAAGCTGAGTTAACTGATCCCTGTACTTGCTGCCGTCATCCGGCTGGAGTATGACTGTTGCGGTTGTGAGTACATGGTGCTTAGGTATCGCGCCTGATTTAGCCATATGTACGAGGACATTTGGGTGCTGTGAACATACCCTGCACAATTAGGCTGCGATGAACAGCTGGTTAGCCGTAGCTCGCAACGCTACTGATATAACAGTCTGAATGCAAACGGCTATAAATTAATAACAGTCGATTGCCTCAACCGTGTATGCCATCCTGGGCGGCTGGCAAACCAGCCCGTAATGTTACGAAATTGGTCGCATCCACGGGGCCCGCGCTCAAGCTCTGAATCTGACTCAGACTCTGACCGCTCAAACTCTGACTCTGACCACTCAAAGTCTGACTCTGACTGTCCAAACTCTGACTCTGACTGAATAACCTAAGAATAACTTAAGAAACCTAAGAAACCTAGGAACCCTAAGAACCCGAAGAAACCTAAGAAACCTAAGAAACCTAAGAAACCTCAGAAACCTCAGAAACCTAAGAAACCTAAGAAACCTAAGAAACCTATTAAGAAACCTATTAAGAAACCTAAGAAACCTTCAGAGTCAGAGTCAGACTTTGAGCGGTCAGAGTCCGACTTTGAGTAGTCAGAGTCAGAGTTTGAGTGGTCAGAATCAGAGTCAGAGTCAGAGTTGGAGTCTAGGCCCATCCACGGATTTTAAACAGATTTTCTCCATAGACTGGTATGCTAACTTCAGATGCCTGTCATTCTTGATTTTGAAAATGAAATTGTTCAAGTCATATACCCAACGGCAGAAAATTAATTTTCACGATTTTTGACACCAAACAAGTTGCAGTTTATGACAAGTTATAGCTGTTTGAAGTTTCTCGTAGACACAGCATAGAATCGCCGCGTGGGACCCTTGATCGTGAATTGTATGCTAAGTCTACAAGAAAACTAAAATGGCTGTAACTTGTTTCATTTGCCACAAACCACAACTTCTTTGGTCTCAAAAATCGTGAAAATTAATTTTCTGTCGTTTGGTATATGACTTGAACAGTTTCATTTTCAAAATCAAGAATGACACGCATCTGAAGTTAGCATACCAGTCTATGGAGAAAATCTGTTTAAAATCCGTGGATGCGACCAATTTCGTAACATTACGGGCTGGTTTGCCAGCCGCCCAGGATGGCATACACGGTTGAGGCAATCGACTGCCATTAATTTAGCCGGCTGTTCATCGCAGCCTAATCGTGCAGGGTATGTTCACACTTCACAGCACCCAAATGTCCTCGTATTGCCGCAACGTCATACTTCAGCCGACTGACGGCAACAAGTAAACTACAGTGATCTTTAACTCACCCCCAGGAAACCCTTTATACTCGTATATATTGGCGACGTACACATGTTGCGCATACGCGGAATATTCGCTTGCTGCAGCCGCCCGCAATAGCCTATACCACAAAGTTGGTGTACAGGAAATTTGCAACAGCAGCGCCCGATAAAACACACAAATATTACGCAGTGGAAGCGATATTTTCCGGTACACAGAACCTGTAGTTTGGGTTGTATAAAGTAAATCTTTCTGCCACCCGCAGCAGAAATGGAATCAGATTCCGATGAAATGCTCTCTGGTATTCGTTCGCTTGTGTGAACGATTTGCTGTTGCTTCATGCATAGCACCGCAGCTTACCGTTTTTAATGTTTCCTCATACAAGTAATTAGGGATTAACCATTTATAAACGGCATTGTTCATAAACTCATGATACAGGATGACCAAGCGTGCACGTACTTGAAGAAGGTTCCTCCCGACTTCAGAATGTTCCTTCCATTAATTAAAAATTCGTTGCGCAGTAAGTTTCCAACACAATTTATAGGTCCAGGTAATCCAACATAGAGTTGTTCGAAAGATAATCTTGCCTACCAACGTTTTTACAGAATCTATTCGTTCCGGAATAGTGAAATCAATTAAATGGTTATAATTTAAATTCCCATCTCTCGTATTTTGCAAGCGTTTTTTATTTAGACTGCTGACTGGAAAATCAATGACCCTCATAGCGCATGCTGCTTCCAGTGCCCCGGTGCTATTTGATTCACGGAGCTCTGCGCTGGGACTGGCAAAATCTGTCCTGAGCTCGACTCTGTTCGGCAACGCCGGGAACATTGGTTTAATCGAAGATGACAGCATAACCATCACCATCGAAGTGACGCTGTTCCATAATCCGCAAAATGTCCGTCGGCTGCGTCCACTGATGCCGGCATGGTTATGCAAAAGCGTTGACAGGCAGGAGGACCAGCCTGAGCTGTAGAACGTTCTATGGACTGCAAAGAAGGTAACAACGACGGAAACGCACTCCGAATTCCTGACGTTCTGAATGCCGCATCTGGGATTAAGAAGAATATGGAGCGGGAATGCGGTATGATAGCAGCGAATGGGAAATGTGCATATCTGTATAAGGTCGAAACTGGTCCGGTCAGTGAAGACAGCATTGTGGGGATCGCATCAGGTAATGTACGGTTCCCTTGACAAAGTTCAAGTACTTGTTGTTCTATTGATCTTGTTTTACAGAGACTGGAGCGGAGTGTCAATATCAGAAACCCGAGAAATCACCACCGCCACCGTATGAGAAATTTTAACGTCATTTCGCGCCCTCCTGCTACACGACGACGATGGCTATATAAAAAGTTCATGTTCTCCTTTAAGTCTCTTACTAGAGCATGTACGTATCTGTCAGTTACCTACGATATCCCATTAACGTTCATTAGCCTATGTAACCTTCAGCCAGTTTGATCAAAACTGATTTCGATTTTGATGATGTCCGAAGCTTAACTGATTACGTAGTGCGACCGCGCTTTGCAGTTTTTTATTACTCGCTGATTCGCTTAACCGCTGCACGTAAAATACAATGTTTAAGTAAAGAAAATGTTATTACCCGGAAGCTTAAGGGAGCTAATTTTTGAAATTGTAATAGATATTTTGGCTAATAAAGCCTTTACATGCCGTTTTGCTGGCTGCGTTGCTCATGCACTTGCGTACAGATGCCAAGTCTGTACAGACCTGTACGTACTGGTGACAATTTCACAGCTTCCATGGCAAAAACACAAATGCGCCTCTCCGGGCACTTCGGCTTAAGCGATGACATAATTATGGTTGAGCAATTTTAAAAGGCTAATTAATATACTTACACATGGAGACATCTTGATCTCTTCGAAGCGGTGTCCCGTGATGACCGTTTTTTTCCACCTCGTACAATAAAAAAACCTCTGCGCATTGCGTCCGCGTTATGTAACGAGCAAACCGAACTTAGATCGATCCCGGTCTAAATCGATCCGCGAACAGGACCTGGAAACCTTAGCAACGCAAAAAATAAACTGCAGCCGCACATTCCACTTGTTTAATAGGTAGCTGGTAGATCACTACCCGAGTAGTTGTTGTTACATAAACATTAGGTCTACCGCAGATGTTGCTATTCAAGCAAGTCGAGTCTTCCTTTTTTAAGTGGCATGGCAGTAAAATTTAACTAGGAAGTTCAGATAGCTGAAAAAATGCCAGGTACCGTTATTTATAGCAAGTACCAGTACCCAGAAAGAAGGATTTCTCATGAGTCGAAAAACCAAATATTTTTCTCTTGTGGAATTTTGTTCGATGCGAAATTTCCCGGATGATTCTTGAAGTATTAGGTGTGACAACTGTACTATGCTTTTGACAGTGGAATATCAACCACCTGCAACCTAGGTAGGTACTTCTTAATGAATATTTTGCAGTCTTATACAATGTAAACTTTGTAAAGTAGTCTCACTGATTTTTGCGGTGGCGCTGCATCTGTTCACGACTGTTCTGATTTCGGGTCGCGGGATACGATTTTGGCTTGAAAACTCTGGTCTACGCATGAAACTTAAAGTTTGCCAACTCTATAGATAGATAAAGACTGAACTATATTCTGTAGAAATTCCATAAGCGGTTGGGATACAAATTTGGCGTTTAATACTAATTTCGTGATTACCGGGCTCGTAGCCAGTGGTAACTCAAAGCTTGCCAATTCAAGATGGGCATTGAGCTGGCACAACGCTTCTTTCGGCACTAAGACTTCCCATTTCGCCACTTTACTTATACAGGGTGCACTTTTCAGTGGGAATCTGGACTGATACATAGATAGATAGGCCGTCTTCTTATTTCGCTTTTTTAGGATGTCATGGTGATTCAGTGCAGAAAAATTTTACACGGATTTTCTGAGTACTAAATAACGCTTTGCCAGCTCCTGCGCGAAGCTGGCGAAGCTTTTCCGCCCACCATCAGATAATGATAAGCAATATGTCATAATCCAAAGTTAAATTTATTGAATTAACGACTCGTTAACCCCTGCGTTTTGCAAAAGATTTGATTCTCTTTTATGCCCTAACAGCTCTTATTTTCTTATAATCCTAAAATTAGTACGAAATGAGTAGCTTCGTTCGTCAGAATGTCCAACACGGAAGTTCAATAACAACCGGCATTAAGGATAAAGCGAAAGTGGACATTGTACTCGTACTGTAGGTAGTACTAGTACCTAATACGTGTATTATAGTAGTATGTCACTGCAACGTGTGTTGTATTTCACGCGAATCTAGGGAGCGACTCTATAAGACACATCAAGAAAGTATTTGGAAATATGTATGATTAACATAATTGATTTCAATTTGTTTGCCCGCCTAATGGATTTTTTAACTATAAGGGGAGAGTGAACTAAAGGTAGAGAAAGCATAAACTTTTTCTGATGATTAAACGAGTGTATGGAATGTCTACTCATTGCCCAACATCTTTGAAGTTTGTCTGCTTTTATTTAAGAAGTGAAATGGTAGTTTAAACTTAGCTACGATGAAGATGTTACAGAAAAATCTACTAAATAAGTAGTTCAACCGGCAGAAGTTAAATGCTGTCTTTGGAGATGCTAAATCAAAGTTCCGGTGGAAATAAAAAAATTTTTATTCTGTCTGTGTGATTGTCTGTCTGTACTATAAATTTTATTTCCTCATTAGGTTATTACGTTTTTTATTGAAAACTAATATTTCTTCGTTATTCATTCTAGTAAGAGAATGGCCTTTGTAAAGGAACAGGATGGCCTTTGTACTTCATTTGCTGACGGAATAGAACGAATAATGACAATATTGTCAGGCAGAATAGATACGTCGCTGTTAATACAGAAATGGTATGCAACGTACCATTCAGACATCTACTGGACCAAAAACTGCTTTTGTCTCCATAATATGCGTATTAGCGTCGAATATCATTTGATATTCTGAAGTATATGGTTCTGAAGTTCTGAAATGAATCGTTGTTCTTTTGGTTTTCGAATAAGCGGATCGATCAGTTTTACCGTTGTATCCTCTTTGATAAAATTGTTCGAAGGCGGTTGACATTGTCATCAAAAACCACTGCACGTATATCGCCACTAGCATCTTGACAAGTGAACGCAAGGAATACACCGGATGTTTCGTTCGTATTCGTAGGTTTTCTGGCGTACTTCAATAAACCTCTTATTCAATAAACCGGCACCCCTTTTAGTCCTGTACTATATTCCGGCAGCCGACTGGTCGAAAAGGTTTATCGAAGAGGTTTATCGAAGTATATATTGCTGTTCTTCAGTATTGTATATTCGGTCCGTCAGTTCAACACTATTTAGCACTGTAGTCTATATTTAAAGCAGCACACTAAGCATAAATAAAATTACTGACATAAATACTGTAAACAAATGTTGAATTTACTGATTTAAAATTATATGCTATGAAATTAAAATTCCCCATTGCCGTTTGATACTTGGATCCAACTCAGCGATAAGCATTTTTGTACGATTTTCTGGGGCATCGTTTGCAATCCGTTTTGACACCTTTAGAATGTTCAAATTTGGTATCTGCTTGTTTTAGCAGTGTAGTACCTTTTAGCCCACATTTTATTTCGCGGATTATGATAGTTTTCCTGCTTTACCAACAGATAACAAAGACGTAAGTGATTAAGTAGTTCTTGTTTACGTTCTTATTCTAAACTTTCTTTTCATTTTGTTATTATTTTAATTTGTTCTTATTTTAAACTTACTCGAACTCGCCAGCGTAAACTGAATATTTTGGATCCAAGCTAAAAATGGGCAGTCAAATTCAGCTGGGCATGCCAGCCCATCCAGAATTATACATAGCTGAAATTTCAGGAAATATGATGCATATTGCATACCTTTGCAGCAGAATTTATACACCAACCTGCTGTCATATGAACAACATCTCGAAGTGTGCACTTTCGGTCTTGAACTTTTCCACCAGGCAATGCCACTCGGGAAATGGCATATGCCATTGCCGGTGGCAACAGCCATTGGCAAGTGCCACTGCCACCTTTTACACCCTGCCGGTGAAAAGTCCCACAAACACACGGGCTAATTTATTAAAATAAAAATTTAGTTGGGGTTCTGCATCCACCGCCACCTGCATCAGGCTTTCCAGATCCGGCAAACGCTGTTCGGCCACCCCAGTTGAACGGCGGAACGCATTTACCGCCGCACGTAACGAGCGCATGTTGTTCGACGTTTTCTGAATATTGGTCAGGAGCCGGGCCCAATGTTGCATCCTAACGTCACCATAAACGTTCTCGCCTACGTGCGGGGTAAACATTTCCGTAGCGTTCTTTCTGAGCCGATTGTACACGCGGGGGCGCAAGGTGTAGGCCAGGCAGCACCCCAAGGATTCATTTGGGTTAGCCCGGCAGTTACGCTATCTGGCCTTGGACGGATCCACATCCTCTTTTGCTAAGAGTAATGCTTCTTCCTATTCCAGCGCGAGACGGCGAGAGTCGATACCGGCTGCCTTTCGCAGGCTGTTCCCGATTTCTACCACCACCTGCAATTGTCCATGCTGCGCTCCGAAGTATTGGGACAATACTTCGGACACGCTCTCATCGGTCTCCAGTGCCTTGGGCCCTGTTAAACAAATATATTTGCATAATTTTATTTTTTAATATATTAATTAAATTATATATATATGTACTGTATATATTTTTATATGTACAATTAAACCATTTAAATTTACCTGCATTAATCCTTACTTTTATTAATAGTATTGTGTATAGTTTCTGCGTACGATCTTTTCTTTTCCGCGGCGGCTTAAGTTAGCGATCCTTTCGTGCAGAAAAGTGGGGTTACGCGGGTCTCGGGCACTCCCGCTTCCTCCCTTTCTGCCGCAGAGAGGTGTAGTTTGAAAAACATTGGACACGGTGCCGATCACGGTATTGTCTGGAGTGGACGCAGTACGAGATAAACATTACAAGTACGAGAGCGTCCACTCTAGAGATTTAACATTTGCTTCGCGGCGTTTGTGCCGTACACGATTTTACAGCGGTTAAGGATCCATTTATCTGGTTTGGTTCATCAAGCCAGCAGTAGCTGTCTGAGTATCCAGGTCCTCTTGATTGAAGACCAGAAACCGCGTGTTTTCTACAGTACTATGAATGGTGCAAAAACTTCTCGAGAAAATTATTTAAATTTTTGTTCGTAAAAGTGAAAAGTAAAGGTCGTAATTATTGGGGTCTGCAGCCCTGTATTTCGCGACCCGTTCGCCCCCGTGCAGGAAGCCGTTAATTTTTTACTACTTTCATATCACAAATTTTTTTAAAACTGAAGCCAATCTTTCTAGCCCAGAGGCGCTAATTCGTCCTCCCAATTGTTTCTAAATGGTCAAGTACTTCCGCCCTTTCATTTCTGGAAAGCCGCTTCCAGTCCTGGACAAAAAAAGCCGTCCAGCTTGGTTCGTTCTTCTGCGATCGAGCACAAGGACGGATGCTTTCAACGACTTCTGTTACGGGCACAGATGAGTTTAATTGCTGCTGAGCTGTTTAATCCTTAACGATCTGCCCGTCTCTTTATGACGAGCCGTTCATTGGTGGTTCT